ATATGTGGACTTGGCTTCTTCCACCTGGTACAGCGAGCAGGTTTTTTAACATGACTCTTAAGCATTGGGTGTGTTCTAATATAAGTAGGGCATCTTGGGGGCAGCACACAAACTGGGGCAGCATCTTCGCTTTAGCTGCTTGGAGTGCTTGGCGTTGGCGTAATAACAGGATATTCAAGGGCCAGTCTATTGGAAGTGAAGCTCGATGCTCAGAAATCTTTAGCCGCGCAGAGTCTTACACAAGGGCGATCGAGGCGTATGTAAGGGTGGGTGCGAGTGTGCATGTTCCGCGGCTAATAAAATGGGCCCCGCCGGACTCAGGTTGGGTTAAAGTCAATTCGGACGGAGCCCTTGACAGAACAACGGGTCTATGTAGCGCAGGTGGATTGATTAGGGATGCGAAGGGTAGTTGGATTGAGGGCTTCGTCATGAATATTGGGCCCGACACAGTTACAGGAGCGGAATTATGGGGTCTATTCCAGGGGATTCAACTAGCTTTGGAGCTGGGCTTTAGACAAGTCGTGGCGGAGGTCGATAGTCAATGTGTGACGACTATGGTTTGCGGGCCTGAAGATGATTTCGACGTTCATGATTCACTTGTTCGGGCAATACGCAGCCTGGTGGAGCGTGAGTGGAGCATTCGGATCTTCCATGTTCATAGAGAAGCCAATTTTGCGGCGGATCACTTGGCGGCGATAGCGGCTTCGGCCCCGTTAGGTTTGCAACGGATTGTGTCACCGCCTCAAGGAGTTGAGGAATGGCTCAATTACGATATTAAGGGGGTGGGGCACCCACGTTGTGTTCTAGCTTAGAGTGCTCGGGCCTTTGGCCTACTTATTGTACCAAAAAAAAAAAATATGATATTTCATAATATAAGTATGTAATTGTTAATGAAGTACGCGATGTTTTTAAGAAATTTAACATGCATATTCAGAACTTTAGATAGAATTGAATAAACCTAAACATGTAATTATATCAGTTCATAATACGAATATTTTCATTAATTAAGTTGCATATAAAAGTCTTTCCCTATTCTTGATATATGTGTCTTTCCCGTCAACCTCTCAAATTATGTATTCGTCTTTGCCTATGATTTTTTTTCCTCTCTCGCGTCTATCGTATTCTCATAAGCCTTTGTTGTTGAGAGCTATATATCCGTATGGGCGGAGAAAGAAGAGCATGTAGTACCATTTATAGGAGGAGACCTAAAATAATAATCTCACCAACATTCCTCATGTTCTTATATGCTAACTTACTGCCCAAGTCAAACATTCTATATTGCCCTAGTTCTGCAATTGTGTCTGCGATTGGAGTGTTCCCCTCGGTCGGGCGATTGGAGTGTACCCCTCGATCGGTCTCGGTTTTTTGGTGGGGCCTTAGTTGGGGCTTTGGGGCTCTGGTTGTTGGTGGTCTGCATGGTGTTGGCATGTTGGGAGGTGTGAGATTCAGTGGGTGGGCGGGGCTCTGACGGATGCGGCGTTTTTGCGTCGGGGAAGTTGGTGTTGTTGGACCGAGCCGCTCTCTCCTTTCGCTTCTCTGGTATTGGGACGGGGGGTCCGGAACACTCGAGTTTGACTAGTGGTGTTAGACGAGTTCGGCTGGTGTAGGGAGCTGGTCTCGTTGTTCTCTCGATCGGAGGCGGGGTTGGTTCAAGGATTGGTTCGGGGCTTAGTTTCGACTTCTGTATAGGCAGTTTCACAGTTTTAGTAGCGGTTCCACGGGCTCGGGATCTTCCTTGGATCGATTGTTCCTCTGCTGGCTGGGCCTGTTTGTATGCTGGGGAAGGGCGTTGATATATAGTTGTATTATTTTTCTTCTGTTTGGTGTCGTCTATGTTTGTGTGGTCGTGTCTTGTGTTTGTTGTTTTCGTTAGGTGTTTTTGGTTTGGGTCGTTGGCCCCTGTATCGTGTGAGTCCGGCTGTGTTCGGGAATTATCCCTTGGAAATCGTTCCTATTCTCCCGTGGGGTGCTTTGTGTTGTTTTGTTTGTGTTTTAGTGTTGATTGCGTCTGAGTCTTATTTTGATTTCTAGCTTGGCTAGCTGCGGTTCTAGGCTGTCTCTGACCTGTCTTCCCACTTTTTCAACCGTTGGTTGTATTATTCAGCTATGTGTTGTACTTTGCACATTTGTGCGTTTTGATTTTTAATATTTCTATCGTTCTGGAAAAAAAAAATTGTAAATATCAAATGAACTGAAATATTTTATTTAATGCTTATTTAACAAAAAAATATTCTCAAGTTATCCATAAAATAAAATATAAACGTATATATGAAAAATGTATTCGGTATAAAATAATTTAAAATAGTAACTGGTAGTTTATTCATGGGTCTAAGAATTTTAAAACTAAAAAATAAAAAATTTAAATACACAATAATTTTGAGGATTAAGTATAACTATATTTAAATGATAAACAATGGGTCATTAGTCCAACTTCCATAAAAATTATTAGATTTTAAAGAATGAAAATTTATTATAATATATATTATTATAATAATGGCACACCAATGAGTCATCGGTCGAAATGCCATGAAAATTATAAGTTCAAAAAGAAAATCCAAAATATCTATAATACACATTGGTATAAATAACGATGACAAATAGACGGACCATCTATCGAATTATTCATATAAATTCTTAAAATAGAAATAAAAAAATATTTACAATAATATTATTATCAAGTATAATGATAAACCAACAAGTCATGTGAAATAACGATGTACATAGTTTGATTAGGAAAAAAAATTTAAATGTATATTCTATAAATTGTAAAAATAATAAGTGTCGAACTTTCATATAAATTACTAAAAAATAAAAATATTAATAACATAAACTATTATAAATTATAAAACTTAAATTAATTTTTATCTAAATAAAAATTAGTGAATTTTATAACATAAAAATAATATATATATATATATATATATATATATATATATATTGCATTCTTTTTAAATTAAGTATTGGTATATAATATTTACCATAATTGTATTTTAATTTTTACCTTCTGTTATATAAGAATAGAAATAATATATCCTAAAAAGGTATGAGTAAGAAAATGGAGAAATAAGTACTTTTGTTAGTATTATAAAATGCTGATTTTTTAATATATTAAATTTTCCTTGTTCATTAATTCTAAACAGAAACTGTTTCTGATCATGTCTTTATTGAAGGAACTCAATGTTTCATGTTCTCAGACACCCACTGTGTGGGTGGACAATCTCAGCACCATCTCCCTATCATCTAATCCAGTCCTACATGCCCGCACAAAACATATAGAAATCGACCTGCACTTTGTTAGAGACCTTGTAGCCAAAGGCATACTGAAAGTCATGCATGTTCCCTCAGCAGATCAGGTAGGAGATATTTTTACCAAACCTCTCTCTCAGCAAGCCTTCTCTCGGTTCAGAAATTTACTACAACTTCGACCTGCAACCTCCTTTGGCTTGAGGGGGGATGATAGCACACATGCAGCCCATGCATGCACAAATGAGCTGCAGACATGTCAGCACAAGAAGACACACAAGACTGAGACCGATCAACAAGGGTATGGATGAACAAGATTCAAAGAAGAAGGATCACATGCATGGAGAGCCGTTAGATTGATATTAGCTGCAATATAAATAGATGTTACCACTTTTGTAACCTAGAATATTAATGGAAGGAAGAAATAGAAAAGTAAGCTTGCATGAATATGGATGATTCTTTTTGATCTCCTTCTGCACATTATTTCATGTCTTTCCTTGAAATGTCACCTATCAATTACTCTAACAATAATACACATTGGTATAAATAACGATGACAAATAGACGGATCATCTATCGAGTTATTCATATAAATTGTTAACATAGAAATAATAAAAATATTTACAGTAATATTATTATCAAGTATATGATAAACCAACAAATCATGTAAAATAACGATGTACAATTGTACATAGTTTGATTAGGAAAAAAAATTTAAATGTATATTCTATAAATTGTAAAATAATAAGTGTCGAACTTTCATATAAATTACTAAAAATAAAAATATGTATAAGATACACTATTATATATTATAAAACTTAAATTAATTTTTATCTAAATAAAAATTAGTGAATTTTATAACTGAAAAATAATATATATATATATATATATATATATATTGCATTCTTTCTAAATTAAGTATTGGTATATAATATTTACCATAATTGTATTTTAATTTTTACCTTTTGTTATATAAGAATAGAAATAATATATCCTAAAAAGGTATGAGTAAGAAAATGGAGAAATAAGTATTTTTGTTAGTATTATAAAATGCTGATTTTTTAATATATTAAATTTTCTTTGTTCATTAATTCTAAACAGAAACTCTGAAAATCCCTCCTTATATATTAATTCAAAACGTGTTAAGCCTAGGTGGCAGATTCTCACGCTTCGGATGCTGACATGGCGAAAATCTATGCTTCGTGATTTTGCTTTTATATTATTTTTGCTCTGAAGTTAGGTTTGATATTAGACATAAATAACTTCACATATATTCATTAACTCAACACCCATGTTGTACATAGTTATTAGTACTAGTAATAACTATTTTACAACGGATGAATAAAACATATAAATCATATCCGAAACTGTCATATATATATATATCATAAAAGTACAAGAAAAAATTACAAAAACTATTATTAATATTCAAAATCATTTTTATACTAATCGATATTATTTCATTGTTTTAAGTTACATAATTTATCATTATTGTTCTGTGCATGACATATTTGTTGTTTCACCAAATGTCATTCAATCATTTGAATTAATGAAAACCGTGGGACCTATTGCCTTTTCATTTGAGCGAAATTACCCACGTTTAATTTTAATAGAAGCACATTTTATTTGAACGAATTACTCATTGTTTATTCCGACAATTGATAAAGTAGACTCAATCGTAGCGTGAAAAAGCTAGCGAACTGAAAAGCTTTTCCAATAGCTCAAAGCATGTGTCATATCATATGTGAACTGATTTTGTTACTGCAAATAATAAACCATGCTGCTAACTTCAAATGGTTGGAAGAGCACGTCGAAATCGTCGAGCAACAAGTCACGAGGAGAGTTGGGGAAGAACATCGGTTCAAACGGCACGTTGTTATTATTATAGTCGGCATTCTTTAGTTCTTCCACCCAAGAATCTAATATGTTATGAGCATTTGTAGTCTCACCTTCCTTGGCTATTACTCGGTCAGTTTTCTCTTGCTCCATGCAGTGCGAGCTCGATAACTGGCGTTTGTCGGAACAAAGATTTTTGTGAGTGATTTGGGGTGATTTCTTGATCATATGTGTATTCCAATAGTTCTTCACTTCATTGTCAGTGCGCCCCGGGAGCCTACCAGCAATCAGCGACCAACTGCACGAAAATATGACAATTTTATAACTACTTAACGGTTAGACCGCGCTACCTAACAATATTTATGTGGATCGTACACAGGTTTAATGGTTTCCGCTTTTTTAGTTTCAACGAAAATTATATCAAAAGGCTTAACGATTGAGGCCAATAGACTCGTGTGCCAATTACCGGTTACCCAGAAGCTTATGCAGCCTAATAATAAGGTCTTTTTCGTCTTCAGACATGGTACCACGTTTGATGTTTGGTCTTAGGTAGTTCTTCCATCTCAACCTGCAGCTCTTGGCACCCCGTAGCAAACCTTAAACCAACAAAAAGAAAAAAAAAAAAAAAAAAGTCTCGTTAGTCCCAATATATGTAATGGGACGATGGATCACGAAAATCGAGAACTTACCGGATTTTTTGGAAACAAGAGTCCAATTGCCTTCTCCATGAGTCTCAACATATTTCTTTAGTATCATGTCCTCTTCTGGCTTCCAGAATCCCTTCTTGAAATTTGGCCTCACTTCTTTGCAGTCCATACGTGCGTGTACAATATATATTATTGTTCGTCAACTCCTTGGATATCTTGTGTATTACGGTAATGATGTGTGTCAAAATATAAAAATTGAAGCTCGAAGTTCCTTAGCTATTTATACTTGAGAAATCTGACAAAAGTTGCATCATCAGCTCATGCATGAGCACTAATGTGAGTGAACGAATCCGGAGAGGATAACAGTAGGGTCCCTTAGGGGAAAAAAAAGTTTTTTGGTCATTTATCTGCAACCCGTTTTCAATTTGGTCCCGTAAATGGACCGTTTTTAAAACCTCTCATGCACAAATAAGGCCGACTAGCCGCTGGACCAACAAGAAAATATGTTAGAAAATTGACTTCAAATATATTTATCTATCAACAATTCAAAATCTTTTTATCAAATAATAATAATAATAATAAGAATAATAATAATAATAATAATAATAATAATAATAATAATAGTAATACAAATATAAAATAATAATAATACATAAAATAACTTACTTATAAAATAAATGTATAAATTAAATAATTATACTTAATAAACATATTCAATAATATAGTAAATAAGAATATTAAATATTATAATTATATTTCATTTGTATTTTAAGTAAATATTTACCAAATAAATAAATATATTAAATAATACATTAAATAATAATAATTACCAAATAAAATAATATATTAAATAGTATAATAAATAAATAAATATTTAAAAACTAAATAATTATAAATTAAATAGTATAATAAATTTGATTTTTATATTACATAAATATTTACCAAAAATATATATATTAAATAATATAATTAATAATAATATTACCCATAGAATTAAATATATTAAATAATATAATAAATAAATATGTAAATAATATAATAAATAATAATATTTACTAAATTAATTTTGAAACAATATTTAAATAGTATATAAAATATAATAAATAATAATATTAAATAATTTATTTAATAATATTAAATATTAATACAATTTTAAATAATTTTCATTTATATAATTTTTAATTAAATAAACTAAATAATTTTTATTTAATAAATTATTTAATTTTTATTTAAGAATGTTAAATAATAGATTAAATAATATAATTGATATATTTATTAATATTTAATATTATTAAATAGTATAGTAATAATTAATATTTATTTAGTAAATATTATTTACGAAATTATATATTTATTTATTAATAGTAAATTAATATTATTTAAAAAAAATATTTACTAAATATTATTTTAGTAAATAAATATTATTCAATATACTAAATCAATTTAATATATTTATTTATTTGGTAAATATTATTATTTATTATATTATTTAATATATATTATTTTGGTAAATATTATTACTTATTATATTATTTATTATATTTATTTATTAGTATTATTTAATAAATTTATTTATTATTTGATAGATGTATATATTTAGCAAAGATTTGTTTATTTCTTATATTATTTAATATATTTATTTATTGGATAAATATTTATTTAATACACAAATAAAAATTAATTATATTATTAAATATATTATTTATTACATTATTTAATATATTTTATTATTTAGTAAATATTTTGAATATAGAAATAAATTTAATAATATTATTTATTATATTTATTTAATATATGTTATTATATTATTAATTTACATATTTATTTAGTAAATAATTATTTATTTCTTGTACTATTTAGTTTATGTATTTATTTGGTAAATATTATACATTATATTATTTAATGTATTTATTCTTTTGGTGAGTAATATTATTTATTATATTATTTAATATATTTATTTATTTGTTAAATTTTATTATTTATTATATTATTTATTTCATTTATTTCTTTTATAAATATTTATTTAATATTTAAATTAATTTAATTAAATACGTTAAATATTTATTTAGAAAATAATTAAATACTATTTATTTACTATAAAAAAATTATTAAAATATAAAAGTAGTTCAAATTGAATAATATAAATTAGATAAAACGATATTGGTAGATATATAATTGAAGTTAAATAGTTAACAAATTGTGTGCTAGCTCAAGTGGTCCATGAGCTCGTTTACTCCCCTATTGGACATGGGTTCGAATCCTCTTGTCAGCATATTTTTTACAATTATGCCATATAATCGCCATCTAAGCATACAACTCAGCAAAAAAAAAAAAAATGAGCGCATTTCCACGTAGGCGTAGCAGGTCACCGTGACCTGCTGTAGGCGGTCAGAGGACCAAAAAGCTAATTTTTTTCAGTTAGGGGACTATTTCTTAAAACGGTCCATTTACGGGACCAAATTAAAAACGACATGCAGATAAAGGACCAAAAAACTTTTTTTTCCGTCCCTTAGGGGCGATTAGATATACATAAAATCGATTTTGATTGGTTGAGTGGGGTAAAATGATTTTGGTACGCAAAAGATCTGGACTGGATGGAATCGACCTCGCCTGAAGTTTTGGTGTAGAGCGTAGTACAATTGGACAGGTAATGAGATACCCTCTCATAAAAAAAACGAACATAAATTTTATTCAATCATCAAAATTGTCCTTCTCCTCCTTCAGGTAAAATATAAATAAGAAAAGGAAAATAGGGAAGTCTACTCTTGCCCAACAACTGCAAGTTAATTATTTGCCTACAAAATAAGAAGTAACTAAAGGACATAAAATAAAAAGAGTCGAATAATAACGAGAAAATAAGTAGGCTAAACCCAGAGCTGGTCATATTTATTCAGATATGCTATGGTGGTCTCGTCTTTATCATCCTCCCCTTGTTGAAGAGGATTCGGCCTCGAATTCGAACCGGTCTCATCTTCCTAAGAATTATCCCCCACAAAAGGCACCAAATGCTTGACGTTGAACACGTCAGACGTACAAATATGAGACGACAAACGAAGACGATAAGCATTAGGATTTATTTTTTTCAATGACCTCGACCAGACCAATCTTGCGGGCCGACAATTTATTGTACTCGTGGGTCGTGAACCTGTCCTTCGTCAAAACGACCCAAACGTAATCACCCACCGAGAACTCCACATGGCGACGGCGCACATCCGCCCGGGACTTGTAGCTCGCGGTCGTGGCTTCCAGTCGAGCTCACGCCGCGGCGTGTGTAGCCTGCAAATCAGCGATAAGGTCCACCACTCGCCGATCGCCTGCAACCGAGGACGGCAAAGCCAGCAAATCGGATGGGCCCCGAGGCCAAACTGCATACACGACCTCGAACGAGGGCAAGCCTGTGGCACGACTAATGGCCGAATTATGAGCAAATTCGACCTGGCTCAACCTTTGATCCCAACTGCGAATATTATCACCCACTAAACAACGAAGGAGGTTGCCCAAGGATTGATTCACGACCTCCGTCTGCCCGTCTATCTGGGGATGGTATGCACTACCAAAATCCAAGCGAGTGTTCACCATGCGCCACAAGCTACAATAGAAATGACTGAGAAAACGAGTGTCGCGATCCGACACGATGGAGAAAGGAAGGCCATGGAGACGGTAAACCTCCCGAAAGAACAACTGGGCGACATGAACCGCGTCTGTGGTACGCTTGCATGGGATAAAGTGCACCATCTTCGACAATCTATCCACAACCACAAAAATAGAGTCGAAGCCTCGCTGAGTACGGGGCAGACCTAGCATGAAGTCCGTACTAACAGCACTCCTCGATTGCGAGAGAACAGAAAGGGGTCTATATAACCCGACGTTCGATGCGATGCCCTTGAAGACATGGCAAACACGACACTGCTCTACAAACCGGCCCACGTCATGCCGAAGGGACGACAAAAATAGAACCGTCTGACTAGATCAACCGAGCGGTCACGTCCCACGTGCCCGGCATCATGAAGATCCGAAATGAGCTTCTGGCGAAGGCTGCAATCCGGAATACACAACCGCATATCCCGAAACAGAAACCCATCAGATAGCAAGTAGTTGTCAACCAGGCCATTCGCAAGTCGCCGGACAATCGGGCCAAAGAATGGATCATCAGCATATATATCTCGCAAAACATTGAACCCAATAACATAAACTCTCATGTCGGTCAACAAAAGCACACACCGACTTAATGCGTCAACCACCATATTGGAGGCACCAGAACAAAAGTGAATTGCTGCAGAAAAGCCGTCCACGAGGCATGACGAGCCTGCATCGCCAAGTGGCGCAAGGCCTCGTGGTCCGTGTACATGATAAACTCGCGATGAAACAGATAATGCCTCCAATGTCAAACCGCTCGGGAAACAACATAGAATTTGATGTCATACGTGCTATAGCGTGACCTCGGACCACACAGTTTCTCGCTAAAAAATGAGACCGACCGACCATCTTGACCGGAACAGCTTCAATCCCGACCTTTGAGGCATCACAAGAAAGCTCAAACGACCTCAAAAAATCCGGTTCATATTAAAGAAATTTCCTCTCTTGACGATTTGGTCGTGCGTTCTATATTAGGTACGTCAAACTTCTCTCCTGGTGATTTTGCTTTGAATTTGAATTCTATTGTTGAGAGTGAGCATGCAGAATCGGGTGTTGATATGGTGTATGGTATGGGGGATAATTCATTTGAGGATCCGATTGTGCTTACCAGTGTTAATAGTGCTCGAGAGGATATTTTGAGGAGAAGGATATAGTAGTTGATGATTTTGTGGATGTTGTTGATGAGGATTCCGAGCTATTATGTGATGTCGTTGACCCGAGGTATGCGTTGATTGATGAGTCGACTTGTGATGTTGAGTATGACGTGGTTCCTATGTCCTTTGGGTCGTCGTTTTGTATTATTGAGGACCGTGACCATATGGAGGAGTTTAGTGTGCCTACGCTCGTGCTCCCGATGCTTGAGCTTGATGAGTACACGTTCGAGATAATGCAAATGATGTACGGGATTGATTCGACGTGCTCCACGGATATTTTTAAATTTTCGAAGGTCGAGTATGGGGCCTCGGCTCGTAAAAATTCATCTCTCCTCTTGGTGGTTGTTGATATCCGTGTTCGGTTTCACAAGAATTCAGC